TAGAACCTTACTTATAGTGCTATCGTGAGGATTAGATAACTTAATAGACCTGAAAAAACTTAGAACTGTGCTTGTTTCTTTGTAAGTATTATAAAATTATTTCATAAGAAAAAGGGAAAGAGAATCTTTAGGATGGGGCTGCTAATTATCCTCCAATATTTAGTATTCTATAGAAATAGAGCCCCAAAATTTCAGCAGAGTACATGGGTGCTTGGTAAAAAGAGTGCATTTCCAGCCTCTGTTGTAGCTGGGTTGGCCGTAAAACTAAATTCTGGCCCATGTGATATAAGTGGAAGTTGATGTGCTGCTTCCAGGATATGTCTTAAATGGGTGGCATGCCCTTCTCACTCCCTTGGGTGTGGTTTCACTGACATTCTCAGTGCAATCGTGATGGTTGCAGCCCTCTTGGACCACCAGGTAAAATCTGCAAATTGAAGATGGTAGAGCAGTCAGATAGTAGAGAGAGAGCCTCAGCCCTAAGGCATGAAGCCACCACTCCAGCCCTGGACCTACTACTATAGTTACATGAGATAGAAATCAATTTTAACTTATTTTTATGGTTTTTCTGATATGCAGTCATGTATGGTTCTAATGGTTTACTGACTCTCCTAGTTTGCTTACCAAAGGCATCCCACTTGACTGTTACATGGGCCTTCCAGGTGACAATAGAAGAGTGACAGGGAGATTAAGGACAGAAGATACTAGCAATGCCTCATTATCTGGAAATGGTTCTCAATTCTGGGTTCTAAGGGTCAGGTAGGCAGAACGACATCCTTCCTTTATCTTATAACCCTAAAGCAGTACTAAGAAAGACCTGCTTGAGGCAGAGAAAGACAATTCAGTCTGGGTTGTAAGTTCCTAAAGCCTTTTCTACCTTACATTCCTGCTCTAAAGAGTTCTGTTCTTGAAAGTTGCTGAGAGTAGATCCTAAACATTCTCACCCCCCCCCACACACACACACACCTATGAAAGAGTTAACTATGTTGGTAGTTATGGATGTGGCAATTATCTTGATCTTGGTAATCATTCTACATTGTATATGTATATCAAATCATCAGATTCTACACCTTAAATACACACAATTATATTTATCAAAAGTTGTTGTAGCTATTTTAAACGCAAGATTTTGTATGTGTATGTATTATTACAGTAAACTAATGCTTTGTAACCAGATTATAATAGCTATACAAACATTAAATATTTCAAAAAATAATAGAAATTGTGCATTTATCCATAGAAAGGCTTCCCAAGGTAACCATGTATCCATTTATCTATCTATCTATCATCTATCTATCTATCTATCTATCTATCTATCTGCCTATCCACACACACACACACACACACACATTTGATTGGATTTGTAGCAATTTACAATAATATTAACATTGGTTACTTGAGTCAGTGCAAAATTCTTCACAGTCTCTGAACTATTTTTAAAAAGAGAAAATGCATTTTGACTTGATAAATCAGATTGGTAGGAAAAAATTCATCTAAAACATGGGGTTCTTATGTAAGACATAATGATAAAAGTTGTCTTTGTGAAAACGTTGGCAAGCATTGTGCCCCCTGTGCAAGATGTGTGGCTTCTGGCCAATAGTGTTGGAACATGTTGCTACACAAGTATCGCTGTGTTAGAACCTGGTAGAAATCGCTTTTCTCAGGAAGGTTTTATGTTTCCTTTCTCAGTTTGACTTTGCCTCTGGAATTCCTGGTTCACGTTCATGGTGGAGCTCTTCAGCTTTCAGAGGCCTCTCTCTTNGGGAGCTGGAGGAATGATTGCTGTCCTGGGTGCGGGGCTCACACTCCGAGAGCTGCTCAGACTCCAAAAGCAACAGATTGTGGACTGCTTTTCTCTTTTGACTAAAAACTTTAGATTCACTAAGATTCATTCATACGGTAGGTTAACAGCCTTTCCTTTATTTTTTATTAAAAGTCCAGTTATGGATGAACTGGAGTCGGTGTTACTCTTCCCACACTGTTTTCAAAATACCCAAATTGCAAAATCAAGAGCAAAAGGGGCAATCGATGACCAGGGTCTAGGGGTACCAACCACCCTCGAATCTAGTCACCTTGGAGTCATTCCCTTTCCAGAGGAAACTGTTAATTCCAGCGCGGACCCTCTGCAGCCAGCCCTGCAGCCAGCCCCGCAGTCCGCCAGGGTCGGGATCCCGGCCCAGCACCGCGCGAGCGCCTTCAGCTCAGGCGGGCGAGTCCAGTCCTGCAGTGAATCCAGCCCCGGCTCTTCCTCCCAGCCCCTCCAGGAGCGCAGCTCCCGCAAGCGCCTCCCAGCAGACCTCCATCCTTGCCAGCCTCGCCCCGCACGACTCCGCAGGCCGGGACCACAAGCTTCACTCCGCAATGGAGGGCCCTGCCTCACAGCCCACTTACCTCTATCGCCCGACAACCCTGCTTACCCGGCTTAGAGTCCGGAGCTCGCCGGCCTGGTAGGGCTAGAACCGGACTTGGGGGCGGATACTGGGCGGGGACTGACGCCGGTCTGGATTCAGAGCGCGGATTGGCTGAGGGACGTTGGGATCGCGGACTGGATGAAATTGGGGATGGGGCGGGGACTTGAATAGAGCTGGGGATTGGGTATACAATGTCGACACCGGACTAATTGGATGTGTGTCACTGATTGGGTTGGAGAAGGTTGTAGGACGAAGATCGATTTGGAGGAAAAGGCAAACTATGCGGCAACAGGGCTTAGGCAAGGGGAGGGTTGTAGTTAGAATAGTGTTGCAAGCTGCGGGAGAGAGGGCAAGGCTGAGAGATGATGCAAAAGGTATATTCATCACCCATGATAGGGGTGAGAAGGAATACGCAGATAGGAACTTCCAGGAACATTCCTGAAACAGTAAAATGAGTTTGCTCCAAGAACTGAGAATGAAGGGGAGATGTGAGACTGAAGGACGAACATAAGTAACACTTTAAAAGTGAGGAAGGAAAATCGGCTAAGAGAAAAAGGAACAGCGCGAGTTAAGCCTTTGGCGAGGGCGTTGTTAGCAAAAGGAGAGCTTCTGTTAAGAATCGAGTTTCATTATTACATTTTCTCCNAAACAACCTTATTGGAAAGAAGGGATTCTCTAAACCCGAGAGCTGATATTAGACATAAATACACAGCTGGAATACCAGGAAATGGAGTTGAGGGGAAGCAGAGTTTGCCACCCCAAAATATGCCTTTGGGATATTGAGTCTGGTTATTTTTAAGAAAAGACTCAGGAAAAAACTTTGACTTTCCCCCTAATTCCCTAAAAGAATCTAGATATAGGACCTGCTGCAGAAAAGGAGATATCATAACTTTAGTTTAATATGAGGTAAGTGTGATAGACAGGGAGGAACTAGCAAGGCCCCTTTGATCAAAGTCTTCTCTGAAGATAACCCAGCAAACAATTATTTGTCAGATATTTGCTTTTCCATCTCCATGTGACAGAGCCAGGTTAAACAAATCAGGACAACTCATGGACATCTGGATTTGAGGCTGAGAGAATGGAGTTTCTGCTGGGCACTTAGACCCAGAAGAGATGTAAAGCTAGATCTGGACACAGACCCTCCCAGGTCAGCCCAGCTCTGTGCCATGTAACATGTGCCTACATTCTCATTAAAATTTCCACTGTTGTTTAATGCCAAGAGCTTTCAAGCCAGATAAATCTTAGCTCAAAATTAAACATCAAAAAATAACTGTGTGACAGTAGGCAGGTTACTTGACTTCCCTGAAACTCAGTTTCTTCATATGTTAAAAAGGAAAATGAATGCCTACCCCCTATAATGGCTATGATGATTAAATGAGTTAAATCCATAGTGGAAAAACACAGTTCTTGATACCTACCATATACTCAAAAACTAGTGCCCATTCAGAAAGTGGAAAAGACTCTCTTAGGTACAAGTAGGACAAGTAACTTTATACCCACTTTTTACCACAGGGAGCAAAGTGATGTTAGGTATAGACTAAATATATGATAATATTTTCATATCAAAAAAGAGGGCTATGATTTCTTTAGGGAAGGACAGACTGAATGAGAAGGAAAAGTTTTCGTCTTAGTTGCTACAAAATAAATGTTTTTGTGCTTCTCTGGTGGGCATGTAAATTTTAGAAGTCTTTTTAAAAAAATAGGCTATTTTTTTGGAGCAGTTTTAGGTTTATAGCAAAATGGAGTACAAAGTACCGAGTTCCCATATCCATATACCCCCTGCTCCCACATACACACAGCCTCCTCCACCAGCAACATCCCCCATCAGAGTGGTACATTTGTTACAACTGATGAACCAACACTGACACATCATTATCAGATGTCCACAGTTTACATTAGATTTCACTCTTGGTGTTGTATGTTCTGTGGGTTTTGACAAATGTGTTACATGTATCCACCGTTAGAACATACAGAACAGTTTCCCTGAGAAGGCCTATTTATGAAGGCTATTTTGAAGATAAGTAGACAACAGATTATGAATAGGAGAAGGGTAGAAAACCAATGGGCTACAAATTGCAATCTGAATGACTAAACCTTAAATGAAGACTAGTCCAACAAAGGGCGGCGCTATATTAGGTAGTAGGAGTTGGTGCTCCATTACTCCTTCCTTCCTTCTTTCTTTCTCCCCTCCGTTCCTCCCTCCCTCTCCCCTTTCTGTCATCCATCCATCCCTCCACCTATTCATCTCTCTCTCTTTCTGTCTCTCTCTCATTTACTAAGTCGTTCTTTGGTTTTCTGGCACTAGAGGATAATATAAATTTTATCTCTCAGTTTCTATGCCTTTAAGATCTAGGTGCTAAAATAGGGAACAGATAGTGATATTCATCCTGGATTCATCTTGGTTCTTTTCTTGCTGTACAGCAGTAATTTTTTCCTCAACTTTAAAAATATTATTTAAAATTACAGAAGCAATAAAAATGTTTAAAAAAAAAGACAAATGATCCAAATAAAGTACAGCCTACCCCTCATTCTATCCCCTTCCTCAGAGGTAACCTTTATAGTAAGTTTTCAATGATATTAATGATAGTGTGGATGGGAAGGGTTTTCTAGGGAAAACAGGTTTACAGTAAGTAGTCTGGTTGGTTCTTACTTTAAACTTACCACTACTACTCTTTATAACACTGATCAGTCTGCTTTATTCATTTGCCCAGTAGCAGGACGAACACTTATTTCCCTGTGTGACCATTTTAACTGCAAAGGCTGTGACGAATTGTAGGGACCTTTCTGATATGGTTGTTAAGGGTGGAAAGGGTTGAATTCTATCCCAGATAATCTGCAAATTTGAGTAAAGCATTGTCAGTGGTTGTTACTTGGATGTACATTAGAATCACCTGGCAAGATTATTCAAAATATGCTCTAGACTTACAGAATGAGATTTTCTCAGGATAGTCCCTGTGCATGTATACACTGTAAAAGAGCTCTGCAGAGAATAATTCCACACGCAAACAGCCTTAATTTAGTGCCATTACTTTATCTGGTCACCCTGGTGATTGCACCCGCTTCCTTGGTTTCACCCAACTTCTCTGCATGGAGGAGGGCTTGACCTAAGGTGAGTGATGGTGGTAACAAAGAGAAGAGATAGAATTCAAGACGTTTATGAGGTAGAAATCATAGCATTTACATGTAGGGAGAGAAGTTGGTGATGTTTTTATGAAAATTTCAAACTTACATAAAAGTTGAGAGATTACTGTTAGGTTGAACAATATGAAACTGCCAATATTCACCCATTTTTGAACTACAAAAATGAAAATGACAATTTCATATGATTCAACATAATATGAAACACTCATATACACATTACTCTGATAATAATTATCAAGATTTTGCCTCATTTGCTTCATCTTTCCCCTTTTCCTTTTTCTTTTTTTATTGCTGAGTAATTTTAAAGGAAATCCTAGACCTTAAGTCATTTCATCCCTATATACTTGGTATATATCTCTAAAAATATTGACATTTCCTTACATAACATCAATGTCATTATCACACCTAATTAACAATAATTCCTTGGTATCATCTAATAACCAATACACATTCATATTTCTGACTGTCTTTTAAAATATCTTCTTACATTTTGATTGATTGGATCAAGTTCCTAAACAAGGTCAACACATTGTTTTGGTGGTTGTGGCTCTGAAGCCTCTGTCATCCTAGAGCAGTCCTCCAAAACACCCCTCTCCTGCCTTTTTCTCATGTCCCTGACTTGTTGAAGAAATCGGGTCATGTAGCTCTCCTGGGTTATGATAGTCATGGTGGTAACAAAGAGGGTATTTGTTTGCTTTTCCACGATGTCACATAACCTGGTTCTC